TCGGGAGCGGCGTATGTTTCAATCTACCAGCAAGTCAATTTTGAAGGCATTGTCATTCCAAAGCACATCCTGGTATAATAAGTATTCATCCTTTTTTGGCACAATATGAGCTTACGCAGTAAATAAATGGGTATTCTCCCGAATCAGGTCTCAAGTCACTACATCTATAAATGCTCCCCCCACTTCCCGTGCTCTGCTGAAAGCATCTGATAAACAAGTATATGATGAGAAATCAACTCTAGGACAAATTTTGTGGCAGACTGCGCCACTTTCACTAGCAACTGCTCAGAGAGACCACTTCTTTTTCTCTAACTAGACATGGATCTCATTGAAGGATCTTTCCCACCAAACTCCCAACTCAATTTTCAAAGTTGTGGTTCACCCCTCCTATCTATCTGTTGGTGAATACACATCTGAACTGAATATAATATATGAACAATTTCGTATAATCTTTCAAAAATGGAGAGTCTCATATCTGACATGTTGAGCCCCCCTAAATAGGGTAAACTCAAGGAGTTTATATATATGAAAAGCCTCAATTTCTCTTATTTGGGGTTGTCATGCCTCTGATGTCGGTTCCTCAAACTCAAAATCGTCTTGGACAACCACTACTAATTTGGATGGAGTCTCTCTCATAAGCTCAACTGGAACTACTTGCATCTTTCCCTCATTAGTTGGAAGCAAGTGGTCCAATTTTATATCTTCACCTTCTTCAATCTCTATTGTGTCATCACTCATATCTTCTATAAAGCTCAACTTAATGAAATAGATCATTCTCGCGGTTGTACAATCTAATTCAATATGTTCAAATCCGTAGTACTCGAAACACTTTTTTGTTGGGACTGATTTAGAAATATTAGCTCGCTCCACTTGTTCTTTACTCTAAATCAGTTTCTCTTCAGGCGAAGTCAGCTTAGGTGTTCCCCTGGGTGTACTCTGTCTGTAAGATCTAAAGGTTGAACGATGCTTATAAGATATGGTGGTCGAATGGTCGCCCAGTGATGTGGTCTCTCCACTTTGGGGTTTGACAAAGTTGGGGTTTGAACATTCGATCTATAGTGAGCTGGTAGGTACTGACGCTACATCTCTTGTTTAATCTTGGACCAAATAATAATCTTGTCTTTTCCCTCATGCTGTCATTGGTGCTTCAATTTTTTTCACCAAAATAATGTGCTCTATTTTAACTTTCTGACAGCTAATTTCACCATTTTTGTCTGGTGAGACTTCCAGTTACTCAAAAGAAAAATTTCATAGCATGTAGCCACTCAATGAACTCGTATGGATCTAAGTGACCGTCAAGAAGTGGCAAATCCAACGTTTCTTCAAAATCCTGACTTCTCAGATATTTCGAGAAAAATTTCCAGGGTAAAGGTTCTTCATCCCTGGAATCTGCATGGTGAAAGAGATCCACTCATTACTTCGATCTAGCAGCTCATTGTTGTGGCTATGGATGATCCGTCCAGATTGTCTCCTCCAGAATATGGAAAGCCTCTATTGCAATCGGAGCATTTCATGTCGCGTATTCTCTATAAGAGGTTTCCCGACATCTCTTAACAGATTTCGCATAAACTACATTGTGACATTTCCTCCTGAATAAGTTTTCCACAATTGTCTCTTCGGTAGTGTAGTTGGGGTTTGGATTGAGAAGGTTGAAGAGGGTACATAAAGATAATATAGGGTAGGAAAAAAAAATTGGGTAAAGGTAGGGTTAGGTATGGGATGGATGCTAGAAATGCTATGATAAAACTATGATTGGGCTAGCTCTGATACCAAATGATACTGGAGTTAACCCAAACCACAATATGAAAAGCAAATATTATTACTGAAAAAAAAAACTAAATAGACAGTTACAACCAACACACTTGAAATAGAAAATACAACAATACGAGATCTGGAATTATTAAATTGCAACAAACATGACACAAAAACTTAAACTATGATGGATCTCGGGGTGGAGGTGGTGATCAGCAAGGGTTTGGAAGATAGTGGAATAGTAGACCAGGTGATTGGCAGCAATTGCTTCTGAAATTTCGAACAGCAAGTGCGACAGATATTGATGCGGCGCGGCAATCCATGATAATAGCAGCAAAGGGGGAGGGTTGGAACAGCAGTGGCAGCGAAGCTGGAGGGTTGGAACGATGATGGGGGGATGCGGTGGACTGCCGGAAAGCAAAATGAAGGTTGTCCTAGCAGGTGCAGCAAGGAAAGAGCAGGACAACGAGGAAACTGCAGGAAAACAGCAAAAGGGTTTATGTCGGGGCAGCTTGCAGCAACAAGAAATGTGTGAAAGTGAAGCTGAAGGGAAAGTGGAGGAGTTGGGAAGGATAAACACCAACTAGAGACCAAGCTACAACCAAAACACCACCTGGAACCCTAGAATACAACCATCGAAAGGAAGAATAGACATCAACGGTTGTGCCAAAACAAAACACACGAAAAACTGACTTCTAAATCCTAATACAACACATATATAGAAAAGGATAAAAAGAAGTGAAGGATAATAGGAAATAAACATAAAAAAATAAATCAATATTGATTTTGACCGTCGCCCGCAATCACGAGAGCTGCGCTCCTCGCATCCCGCGTCAAGAGTAGGGTGCTACCACAACACCGCGACAGTATGCAACATTGCAAAACACGTATGTGTGCAAATAATTATAAGTACAACCACTACAAAAATTTTAATTATTCAATTAAAAAACTATAAGTAAATTTGTTCATAATTTCAGCCAAAAAATATAATAAACAGATTTAGGCATTTTGCTGAAAATAAGAAAGTGCATCACGTTCTGAGATATGCATCAAGTTGAAGCATTACCTCTGTTTTTCAGAGCCATCTTCTTTATCAATAGAGACAATATTTGGAACAATTGCTTCACTGGGGGATTTTTCATTATTGACAATTGCTGAATTTATCAAGATATAGCAGTCAAGTAAAATCCATCAAAAGAAAAGAGCAATGGATATGGAGAAAAAAAGTAATATTACAACCTGAAACATGTGATGTTAATTCCATTTTGTCAACTTTGCGTACTTGATTTGCTTTGTCACTCACATTTCCTTTTTCTGCAGTAAAATAATGAGACTGGCACATAACAATGAAAGAAATCACCAAAAACTTGAATCGGGTGATTACTTTCTCTACTTTAAATGGTAGTGACAGAACCAAATTTCAAAATAGTCTCTTTACTGTTTTACTGTTTATATAGGACCATTTAGTCACGGAGTCTATAAAAGTGACAATTTAGTCCCCAGATTTTTCAATTTGAGGCTCAAACAGTAATCCATGGGCCTTTTTTAAAAAATATGGGGATTAAATTAGCATTTTTATAGATTTGGGGAATAAAATGGCCCTTACAAAGAGTCAAGAGGACTATTTTGACAACGATATGGATATCAACTAACCCACAGAAATGGAAGTTACCATTATTTGCTTTCTTCGAGCGAAGATCCCAAGAAAGTCGATGCATTGCAAGTTCAGCTTTTATTTTTCTACCATCAATTGTTAAACCATTTTTCATTTCGATGGCATGCTGAGCATCTCCCACAGCAGCGCTGAAGGAACCAGATGACGAGGGAAAACGAGAAGAAAAAATTACTCGATGAGCTGATATACAATTATCTAAGAAAAATATCTGATCTTTTTTAGTCATTGAGTGGCATAAGAAAAAATTGCTTGTTGTTCCAAACAGCAACAGATGGATCAACTATGATATAGATCATTGGGTAACTAAATCACAGCTGTTCCATATAATTAGAAATGTAATTAGAATATGGAGGTTTGAAAAATCATAATAAACTAGTAAACAGAGCATGTTTTATCAAGCAAAAAAATGGCAGTTTTCTCAAATCGTAGAGATCCTAAAGATTCATAATCAAGAAGCCAAAAGCTAACATAATGAAAGATAAATTATAAAGTTTACTTTGATCAAGCTTTCTATTTTCTAATGTTGAACAAGCATTTATAGTAACATAAAAGCTTTAGTTCTCTCATCTATAGAAATAATGTTTAAAGGATGTTTTTTTCTTTGGAATGTTTGGTTTGCCGCATTTTAGTGTAATGCATTCATTTTGCAGGGTTTTCAAAGTTTTGCATTGATTAGATGAAAAAGATAAGCAATGTAAAATGTTGATGTATTTGAAACTCATTCCTTAGTTCAATTTGGTGAATTGAAAAATCAACCAATTTGGCCAATTTCCAAATACACCACACGTGCTAACACGATCATCACCCGTCGTCGAAGCTACAGCACCACCACCACAGAGCACCACCATGCCGCCAATAGCCACAAATTGCCGTAGCAGCCAACCAGCTTCCGCCGCCAATGCAGTTGGGCCTTGCATTGAACTCATTTTACTTCAAAGCAAGCACAAAAAGTAATCACAATTTCTTTTACACCCAACCAAACAACTTTGAAACATTTTAAATGCTCTGCACTTCAAATATATTGTATTATTTTTACTTTGCAATCCTTTTTCAGCAAACCAAATAGCCCTTAAATGAAAATTTGCGTGAACCCATTTCATTAAAAATAATTGGAGGAAATAAGTAAATCTTAAAAAAAACAATACTATTTATCCAACTTGTGCAAAGTCCTATCTTTCAACAAAATCCAAGATGATCAAGGAAAGTTAGTTAAGCTGAGATCATGCTTGTGGTACAAAGGCCAATGCTCCTTTTATGAAAGACTGAGAATAATAAGGATGGTATTGAATAAACCAATGAGAAAACAAACAAAAAAGAGAAATTTTATTGAAATTGACTTTTAATCAAAGTGAGCTTAAACAGAAACAAACCCTTCTTCCTCCTAATCCTCCTTTTTTATGTTTTTTTTTTTTTAACTACATAGACATCTGGACCAGATCCAGGTTACCAGCGGATAACTGATCAAGTTAGACTAAAGAGAATACAACACAGCTTATTATATAGAGGTGAAGAATGAGGAAGAAAATGCATGCTCTATCACTCTTTGTTTGGGGTGTTTATGTACAAAATGATATTGATTGTTATATTGTAGAGTTGATTACTAATCTCTGAACATCTTATATGCTTCGAAAATAAATTTAGGTCCTGATCTGAAATGTTAGTAAGTTCTTATCAACAGAAACTCTATCCAGATGCCATAGGCGTCAAATAAGACGTGCTTACTCAACTAGAAATGATTATTCAAGATTTAAACTAAAAAGTGTTTATAAGTTTCTTCCACTGCAAAATTGCATGTCAAAACAACTATATTACCAAAAAAACTTAATATCATGGAAAACAAAATCATCATCAAGAAAAAGGCAGAGTGAAGGGGCAGAAATGAGTTACACTCACAATTGCACAAACCCAAAGCCACGGTTTGCATCAGAACCTGTAAGTGTGGAAGAAAATAAGACATGGTAAATATAATTAAATGAGCAAAAGATAGTAAAAATGAATTAAAGAAGACAGTCAAAACCATCACATATATAGATTAAAAGGCATCTACAAAGCTAAGATATGATAATCAACAAGATTGGCAGAAAAACTGCTATTATGTGTGCATAGCAACTAATGTTCAGAACCTTTATCATTAAATGCCATAATTTGCAGTTGAATGCAAAGGTTTAAAAAATATTTGAGACGGGCCTTTGGAATTATATTAATGCTATGAGATTATGAATAATCATATTGATTTAAATGAAACATGTGACAAGGCAAGGATATAATATATCCTCAAAAAATGCGCTAGATGGTTCTACATTCGTCTTACATCCGAGATAAACCAAGTATTGTTTCAAAAGTAAGCTCAGATGATAATCTATCTTCCCAATAGGCAACCCACAAATTGCTCATTAATAAGATAAAATTGTTCTTTTTTTTTTCTTTTTAATAGAAGTTAACACTGGTATATATGAATTAAACTTTGCATGTGGAGATTTTATAACAGAAAAGGGCATTAAATTCATAAGTGGAATGCTTTACAATTACATAGGGGCATGGACATGGATGGCTTGGCCTAAATAATGACCAAGCCAAAGCACGTAATCAATGTTACTTACCAAGCCATCTGATTAACCAACTTCCATTATTTTGTTGTTAAATCAAAAAAAAATATAAAAATAAGAAAATCTGTTGATTCAGTTATTGCCTTCAAATTAACAATTTAGTGCTAAGGAACTTTTATATTTAGTTAATTACAAACAATATTTATAAATTTGTCTTCATAAATACAAATCCCATCTAAAACATATTTTGCATCTTCCACCAACTTATCGAGGTGTTAAAGCCACCGAGCACCTTATGACATTCTTTTCTATTGTAAATGATATCATTCACATGAAATTATAATTACAGGGCCTAACTCATAAAATGTGAGCTGTTTAGTTCGTTCATGGTTAAATTAAAAATTTCCGCACCCTTGGTCAGGCCATAGCTATAACTCAAGCACAAGTAAATGAAGAAAAAACATATGCATTGCCACAAACCCTTCTTTGTGACCACAAAGCAGCGCCTCACAGGTCCCACCTCACTGAATGCATCTTCCAGCTGTAACAAATATTAAAAAAAAAAGGATTGGCCAAGGTTCAGGAAACAAGGCAGTTGGCATTTTATAGTAATAAGTATATAAAATAAACCTCTAACCTGGGAAGACTGAAGAGAGTAAGGAAGATTTGAAACAAATACTGTGGCAAGGCAGCGATCCCTATCTACTCCATCATTCTGATCCCTCTTTCTCTTCCCCATATCTACAATAAAAGTAACTAATGAGCGACAAAAAAAAAATATCCACCCATCAATGCATAATCATAAGCTATATAATTCACCCATTATTTTAGCAGGTTTAATCTGCCATGTGACGGAACCTTCAAAATTCATATAATCACAAATCACAAGTTCACTTCAGTCTACAGTTCATGGAACTCGCACAAGAAAATAAATTATCTCAAATATCATGGCCTAAAACTATGAACAGACTGGTCAGAAACTGACAAAATACAACCAACGGTAAAATTTAAGTCCATGTTCTAAAGTTCAAATGAAAAATCATAACAATGACAATAGAACATAACTATTGATAAAAAGAATGAAAATGCAAGCTTTAACGTCACCACTTCGGTGTTTAAGGAATAATGGAGGGGATGGGTTAATGCTTGTTCAAAAGAGAAAAAAAGGTGAAAGGAGAGTAATGCAATACGCAAATAAAACACACAACATAAAATAAAGTCAAAAAATAGAAAATATGATGAGGTTATGCAAGATTAAAATCCTATGGAACTGTTTGGTAGCAGGGTTTGAACACGGTATAAGTAGGATTTAACTTAGATCCTGCCATAATGTAAATATTTCTACTTTAAATCCTAAGTTAAGTTAGCACCCGTTCTCCCTCGTTTTACGTGATGCGGAATTAGCTTAATCTGGGCATTGCTAGTGTTTAGCTTCAATCCGCGGCGTCCCTTCCCGCGAACTCCCGTCACCAACTCCTCTTCCCCTTCGCACGCCTACTAGCCCCTGCCTGACCACCGCCAACACCCTTCACGAAGTCCGCTTCTCCATACACGCCGCCAGTCCAGTCGATGCTTGCCAGCGAGCACGGACCACAAGCGGTTCGGAAACTATTACGATTTAGAACAGAATTTAAGCTAAATCCTGCCAGTCGGGCATTTTGGACAAGTTCAATCGTCTGATTTACTAACTCCGGACTTCGCCCATTCTCGGCGTAAATCTCGGTTTTAGAAAATCCGGATATTCCGCAGATTTAGTAAATCCGGGAACGCGCGAAGAAAAAGAATGGAGTGAACAGGCTCACCGTTCTCAATGGTTTCGCGTAGGAGCGTAAGGAGGAGAAAGATGGGAGTTTCGGCGGTCTCCGTACGCCGCTATCGCGTCGCTCCCTTCTCAGCTAGCTCTAATCGCTGCTGTAATGCGAGGGTTCGGTCACGAGGCGAAACCGGGAAAGCGGGGATGGACATAAGCGAGGAGGCTCGGGGCAAAAGACGTTCTTTTGGCGAAAACCGGAGAACGGTGGGCATGAGGTTTAGGGTTTGGCGCAAGTTATTGGGACGCACTTGTTTACATGAAAAAAATATTAATGTAAAAATAACGTGCGTAATCAATTAAATTACGTCACGATATCTCGCGTGATAGAGCAAAAAAAATGATACAGTAATACGTAGAATATTCATGTGTTATTGTGTGTAATTTATGTATTATTGTGTGTGATTCATGTGTTATTGTGTTATTATAACACAAGAATATTCTCAAGACACAATAATACGTGAATACTTCTCACATGTTATTCTTGTGTTATTGTGTGTTATTCATGTGCGGGGAAATATTTTCTCCCATGTTATTCTTGTGTTATTGTGTGTTATTCATGTGTTACTCATGTGTTATTGTGTTATTATAACACCATGAATATTCTCATGACACAATAACACATAATAACACATAAATAACACGGGGGGAATATTCTCCGTGTTACTGCGTCCTAGTGATACTGCGCCGTCTGTGTCGCGAGGGGTATCGTGGCGTGATTTCATTGACTACGCACGTTAGTCTACATGCGTAGTACTGATGTAATATTTTTTTCGTTCACATGAGCGTATTTTCATCTTTTATATGCGGTGTTAGTGACATAAGGCGGAGCACGATAACATTTCCTTCTTTCGCATATTGCGTTGAGTTCGTGCGTTTAGGGTGAAAAAGGCGTCCTGTGCCCATCTTCAGTCTCTCTCGCCCTCGCCTTCTTCCTCGCTGTCGTTGAGAAATTTGACAATAAATCCACTCTCTGTTCTCCCTCTCGTCGCCCTCTTAACGAAACCCTACTTTCTTGTCTGGTATGTATCATCGTTTACGTTCATTTTGTGTTTTTGCTAGATGTTGTTCGATCCCTGATTTATGCGGCTTTGCATCTTATTTGGATAGACCATTGGTGGTTTTGGAAATTTTATAAGGAATTTTAGATGGGTGGTTTGTATTCTCATAAATTTCGATACACAGTTTTGGGTCTCCAACCTTTGATTTGTTGCAAAGCTTTTCGAGCATTCTCTGAACTTTCTTTTTACTCGATTTGAAATTTTGATGAAAGTATCGGCAGGGTGTTCCGATCAAAATTATGAATAAGCTGCATTGCATGAGTTTTGGCTGGGTGTTCTTATCTTTGTGATGGTTCTTATTGATGGAATTTGGGCCCTAATCCTTCTCTATCCCTCTCTCTATGTCGTAAGATGCCTCCTCTCTGTTCGGCTCTTATGGAATTTGGGGCATTACAGTGGTTCTTTATTGTTTTGTTTTGGCTTTGCCGATCTTGGAGTATTTCATATCTTCCATATGCAGTGATTTTTAGTTTCATCAAAATAGTATGGAAATGCATATTTGACAGTGATTTTTAGCTGACCTATAGGATTTTGAAATTTTTGCTATTATAACGACATTCCTGCGACAGTATGAGAAGTTGCATTTAGGAAAGTCTTTATGCATATCCTGCGGCTGAAAATGTGTAT